AGCAAGGAAAATAAAGAAGCATAGTTATATTTGCAGCACTACTTGCTCTTCTTCTGCCTGGCAAAGAAGCTTAAGAACGAGACACTACCATAAGTGGATGAATAGACACAGATCTTCTGTACCTGACTTCATATTAGTAAGGCTTGTCCTCTAGTTGTGAGACTGGAAACCTGAATGGAGATTTACAGAACCAGGCCTTGCTAGGAGGAATTGTTATCAGAGGAAAGAGAATTGTTCTTGTGTTATTTAAAGTTGTTCTAGAGCTTCTTAAAGCTCCAGATATGAAAACCTGGGATCTGTTGCTCACTCTGGCAGAGTTCAGCTTCTGTGTTGCAGCATAATGTATTTCATCTGTTTCTAGAACCATGGCTAGAATTGTCTCAAATAGAAAGGAGCGAGAGTCCTGTTTAGCTCAGATGCACTAACAAAATCAACTTACCATTTGAAAAGAGCAGTTTAAATTGTTCCAGGGAAAGGCTTCTTAAAGTCATTCTCTGCCTTTTGCCTCTTGAGCAAAATTTAACATTTTGGCATGGGGCAGGGGGGAAAAAAGATTTCAAAATTTTTCATATGTCACTGTTTTCTTCCCCCTAATTTGTTGGCGACAAGGTGGATGCATGAGGTTGGTTGGTTTTTCTGTTCTGTTTTCAAGTCTTGTGCCATGGAAGAATTTAGGTGGAATAACTGGGAAGCATAAAGTTCATGCTTTGGTGGTGGACAAAATAAGGAGCGATGGACTGCAGTGCAAAGGTGAAGGCAGCATAGAAAATACTCTCCTCCCTGTAAAGCCAGGGGTGGCTCAGCCTGTGTTTGAACCTCTCGGTGCTGGCCGAGATGGGGGAGAGAAGCAAAAGCAGAAATGACAGCTGGCAGTAATCAGGAGGGAGGAATGCACCTTTGCAGCTATTTGCTGCTAGCAGAGCTGCTGCTGCTGCTGCTGCAGTTCGCCGGGTCCAAGGCAAYAGGCTGTGCGGGCCCCAGGACACACCTCGACAGAGGAACATTGTTTTTCTAGTTGTTCACAGAGATTTCCCAATTTTCCAGAGATGCCTAAATGACTTCATTATGTTGAGAATGACAAACAACACAATAAGGAGATATTTAATTCAGATGTATTTGTACAGTTCTTGTAGGTTTTTAAAAAACACTAGATTAAAAAAGAATCCTGCTAACTCTGTGTCATATATGTTGAATGCCATACTACAGTGTTTTAATGTCAGTGTGGGAGAATGACACACAAAGACCCTTCCTGCATTAGCTTTGGCTCCCCCACATGTGGAGGGGAACAGTTGCTGCCCGTGGGGAAGGAAAGTGATCGGGTTGGGTTGTTCCTTTACAGGCATTCATAAAACATTAACTGCAAAAGGGTTAAACAAATGCACCTAGATATGCCTGGAGAGAACAGTCCTCTCAAAGGTTATAAGTGTAAGTTATAATGGAATATCTTCTGCCTCACTCATAAGTAAATACTGGACAATTAGCAAGAGAACCATCAAGATGCAAAAAGATACAGCACTGCTTTCTATTTTATTTTATTTTAATTTATTTTATTTTATTTTATTTTATTTTATTTTATTTTATTTTATTTTATGAAGTATGACCTTCTATAGGAAGGGGGGAAAAAACAGCTCTTGCCCAGGGCATAGAGGAAAGAGGGAAAACTGAACCGAGATTTATTAACTGAGAAAGGAATCAAAGAACTAGTGGGTTCTGAGGGAAGTACAGTGGGAACASAGACTGTTTCCCTGTGAAAGTCCTGTTTTACATTTGTCTTCTAAAAAACAAACAAAAAAACCCAAAAAAGCATAAAATACAACACTTAAAAGCTGCAACTTAAGCAGATTTTTACTCGGATAGTGTAAAACCTGTACCTCTTTACTCAGCCCRTCTCATAGACACCTAGATTTGTACTCATTTTGAGGCAACATAAGGTGAAATTTCAGTTCCACGGAAGGATAATGGTAAAAGTCCTTTGCACTCCAAAATTTCCTTGGATTTCACCCATGAGATCTTTTCACCGCCCCTTCTGTGGCGAAGCCAGCATTGCTATGAGAAAGGGGTCTGGGCTCCTTTCAGAAGCAGCCTCAAACTGTGCTGTCAAGTCTTGCTTCATTTCTGCTTACACAACCGCGCTGCAGTGGGGAAGGGAAAAGGATACAAGGGGATTTTCAGATCCTAGCATGAACTTTCGTGTCGGACAACAAGGCTCCCACCCCACTTTGAAYTGTAAAATTAACTCATTTTCTCTGGAGGTCTTTGGAAGTCAATAAACATAAAATACTATTTTGCTGCATTTCCATGAGTGACTTTTCAGGCTGAAAGTATAATTGAAATCCWAATTTTTGAACTCTCTGTTTCTTCCATTGATTTCCATGCATAGTGAACTCTGCTTTGTCCTGCCTAATCTGGCTTCCTCTCTTCCGGCAGGGAAAATCTCTCTGCTTTTGGTAGTATCATTGCATACAGAGTCAACCTAAATCTAGCTGAATATAAACATTTATATGAACAAATGGTTCGTTTCTTACTTAGGACTAGTTTTATTCTAAAGACAACCATAAATATCTCTACCTATATGTAGAAGCACCCAAGCATGACTATGCCATGCCTTTACCTGTATATATATGTATGTATATATATGTATATTTATGTGTGTGTATATATATCGTACATATGAGGCATTAAAGAAATCTGATGTTCTCTCTCAAAAGTTTACTTTTTTATTATTTTGCAAATTATTGGTAAAAAATACTGGTTTAAGTGATAATGCATTCTGGCAGTATTCCAAATGGTGTATTTCACTGTTTAAACATGCTGGATTTAAAAAAGCAAAGCAAAGAAAAAAGGATCGTCTGATCAACTGCTCTGTTATTCTTCTCTTTTCCTGATCACCTCTGCCCTGGTATGTAGAAATTGGCTGATTTATTTAAATCCCAGGAACTCCCATGGCATATGGATCATAAAGTAGCATTTACAGTGTGCATTGTAACACTTCATCACTACTTGACAGACTTTGAAAGTAATGCAGATTCATATTGTTCCAAAAGGAAAATTAGGGTAAAAGTAAATGCGACTCTTGCAGATTTACTTCAGAGGCTACTGCTGCTCGGAGGAGGAATGGGGGTTTCTGAATGACAACTGCCACCAAAAAAAGAAAAAAAAAACCTGTCCTCTAACCCAAAACCATGCCCAGAAAGTAGTTCTGCAGCACTGCCCTTTTTTCCCACAGCCTTGTGGAGCCCCCAACCCTGTCTGCAGAAAATGAAAGAGAGAGGGGTGGGATTAATGTGTAATTAAAGGGAATTTGGAAGGCTGAGATGTTGCGGAATGTTAGATCAGTAGCTGGAACAGCATGTGGTGTTCTTTAGGCAGGCTTCATTGAATCCATACAAAAAAAGAAAGAAGGGCTGCTTGCCTGTCTGCTCATTTATCAAACAGCTAGGCTGAACTTTCACAGCTCCACAAAAGTGTTTTACTGTTTGCTGAAGTTTTGCTCCAGAAATTAAAGCTGAACAACCTAGTGAAGTCTGAGGTCTGTGCTGCGTTTCTGACATAAGCCACGTTGTGCAAAGCTCTTGGAAACCAGCGCAGGTCAATTTTTATGTGATACAAAGGGAGGTGGATTGTGCATTTGATTGAAAAAAGAAATTTTACTGAAGAAATAGTCAAATATGTGACACTGTAATGTCTTTATTTATATGGTAYCTTTTGATCCAAATACATGTTCCAGAGCTTTCAGTCATCAATCAGGATTAAATATTTAGCACTGTGGTAACTGTGGCAAAATAGCTCTCAAGGAAAAAATCTATATTATTTAATCAATTTTAATTGACGTTTTCTTCTGGTTGAATAATTGTATTCTGTTTTGTATGCCTGTTTCCCATGAATACCGCTTGTTTTTCCATAAATATAGGAAACATTTAGCAATTTCTGTCACGAAACAGAATGACAATGGGTTATAATTCAAAAGGAAGCAATTCCTCCTGGAAGTGAATCTCCGAGGCTTACTGTGGTCTTTCTTGCGTAGCTCTYTTGACGGAAGAGTATTCCTGCCGCCGCTGCTGCAGACCACACGGAGAAGCAGGTTCAATCCTGCGCGSGGCTGAGCGCTGCCTCCCCGGGGGCTCCCCCAGCGCTTGGCCCTTGCACCGGGACCAGCCTGGCTCACAGAGGCACAATCTATATTTGCTTCCTTAAATGCAGCTGGCACTAAGGGCTTGTTGTTTTATACTTCCAGGGCCCTTTTAGTCACTGCCGACAGACCAGAGTCCGGATTCTTGAAAATATCCTGCTGTTTCTAAGATGCACTTGCTTTCCATAGAGGATAATTTGATTATGAGCCATCTTTACAAATGCAGCAAGTGAGCCTTGCGTGCTGGAAGTGGCTCCCCTGTCAAATAACAAAATCTTTTCAGGGAGTCGTCTCAGAGAAAAGAGAGCGCTAAATGGCAGGACTGTGCAGGTCCTTAGGAAATCTTGCCTCTGAAACTCTCAAAAGGAGAAATTGTCCATAAAGGGTAATTTCATAATGAAAAGGTACCCAGACCCTAAAGTTTCATTTTACTGGAGTAGGGTGCTAAGGAAAATTTTTGGTTACTGGTGTCTAGGCATAAAACCAAGTTTGTTGATCCTGCAAGCTGATGTGTAAATAACTCAAATATTAGGCCAATTCCAGTACAATCCTCATTAAGTTTAGAAGCAGAATCGACATTAGAGTTTAAGGAATTGTATTTTGGTCCAGTAAATTCAGAAAGTCTTTATTCAATGTAATGGTTGTTAATGAAATTACATTGATTTTAACAGTTTATTTCTCATCTTTCAGTAACGGAACAAGTCATAAGGGTCTTTTTTTTTAGTACAGGCTAACTTGGTCTGATTTCTCTTGTCAGCTATTTTGGTGATACTGCAGTGCAATTTTTCTGCCTTTCTGTCTCAATAGTCTATGTTAAATTAAACATCAGTAAACGTGCATTATTTTCTAACATCAGCCTGTTTATTTGCAGATAATAAGGCAGCAGTTTCCACAGCTAACAACAAGAAGACTTGGAACCAGAGGCCAATCAAAGTAAGCAATGTATGGTATATTACCATCTCGCACAGAGCCCCATATGGTCTTGGTTTTACTCTACTGAATTCACTAATATAACAACAAGGATTAATTTGTCCATTGGGCAGTTTAAACCCAATTTTGATGGAGATTCTGTTGTGGAGCTCACATTGTCCCATTGATTCAGCAGTGCTAGTCCTGCATGGGTATTCTAATGGAGATCTTTTCCTAATTTAATCAGCAGTATTTTCCATATTGTTCCTGTGATGCTTTTCATCTCTGCTCACTTTGCACGGGGCATTCACAGCCATCAGTAATGCAGCTACTGCTGGACGCTAAGGAATGACAGCTGTTTAACATCAGGTTTCAGTTTAGCAGATAAGAGASAGAATGCATGCAATTTAGGTAGAAATAGACACTGGACTAAACTGAAGTTGTCCAAAATCTGTCTTTTAATACCATTTTTGCTTGTGTAATGAAATCCACCATTTCTTTCAGTGATCAAGAAGTTAGTTTATTGCTCATTCCAAAGATGGCACTTCCTGAAAACAGTTCACCCTAATTCCAGAGTAAGAAATTGATTCAGAAATAAGAAAGCACTTCCTAAAATGCARTCCAAATATTGGCAAGAATTACTACTGGACAGTGAGGTGGATTGAGAACTGGCTGGATGGCAGAGCTCAGAGAGTGGTGATAAATGGGCCTGAGTCCAGTTGGAGGCCTGTGGCCAGTGGGCCAGGATCCCCCCTCGGGGGTCAGTCCTGGGCCTGGTGCTGTTCAGCCTGTTCATCAGTGACTTGGACGAGGGCACAGAGGGCACCCTGACCAAGTCTGTGGATGACACCAAGCTGGGTGGAGTGGCCGACACTCCGGAKGGCTGTGCTGCCATCCAGAGGGACCTGGACAGGCTGGAGAGTTGGCCAGAGAAGAACCTCATGAGGTTCAACATGGACATGTGCAGGGTCCTGCCCCTGGGCAGGAATAATCCCAGGCACCAGGACAGACCAGGGGCTGACCTGCTGGAGAGCAGCTCCATGGAGAGGGACCTGGGAGTCCTTGTTGACACCAAGTTAACCGTGCCGCAGCAATGCCCTCATGGCCAAGAAGGCCAATGAGATCCTGGCTGTATTAGGAGCAGTGCTGCCAGCAGGTCAAGGGAGGGGATCCTGCCCCTCTGCTCAGCYCTGGGGAGGCCGCTCCTGGAGTATTGGGGGCAGTTCTGGGCTCCCCGGGACAAGAGGGACATGGAGCTTCTAGAGAGGGTCCAGCGGAGAGCGACAAAGATGATTAAGGGACTGGAACGTCTCTCATATGAGGAAAKACTGAGTGAGCTGGGCCTGTTTAGCCTGGAGAAGAGAAGGTTGAGAGGGGATCTGATCAATATGTACAAATACCTGAGGGGAGAATGTAGCGAGAATGGGGCCAAACTCTTCTCAGTRGTGGCCAGTGACAGGACAAGGGGCAATGGGTACAAATTAAAACACAGGCAGTTCCATCTCCATGTGAGGAAGAACTTTCCTGTGAGGGTGACAGAGCCCTGGCACAGGCTGCCCAGGGAGGTTGTGGAATCTCCTCCTCTGGAGATCTTCCAAACCTGCCTGRATGCCGCCCTGTGCCCCGTGCTCTKGGTGTCCCTGCTGGAGGGTTGGACTAGATGAGCTCTGGAGGTCCCTTCCGGCCTCAGCCCTTCTGAGATTCTCTGATATAGTGATGATGCTCTATTCCAAATAGTACTAAATACAAATGCTAAAAGAAATGCTAAAAGAAAAACTAACTTCACTTCCCTCTTCTGACAGGTGACTCCTGTCAAGCAGTCTTCCTTTAGTGGGGCTGTATGTGCTTTCCCCATCTCAAGAGATTTTCCTGATTTGTCTAACTAAACTTTCCAGAGCAGCCATATTTCAGCAGTCAACTGAAGATCTGAAAACTGTTCCCATTGGCAAACTCAGAGCTACTGTGAGAGTATTCATAACATAAGTACCAGAACCTCTCAGAACATGGGTGGAGTGGTCCTGCAGCATATTAACAAAGCACAGTAGGGCAGCACTTGGAGCAGCAGGGTGTAACATTAACTATAACACGGAATAATCTGTGGAGATTTATAAAAACTGAGCTCGAGTTGCTCTATGAAACATCCCATATGGCAGTATCCTGTGTAACTTGCCAAATCACTCTGACATGGGCTACTCCATTGCCTCACTGTTTGTCTTCCAGCCTAAAGGAAGGATAAACTCTGGTGCATTTTCCACTTGGGGCCTCTCAACCCCTCCAGCTCCAGGTCACTGTCTCTCAGAGAAGCAAGACGCCCTTGAGAGCTGACTAGAGATGTCTTGCCTCTGCAAAAGCAATGTCTTTTTGATCTGAATGAGGCCCAAAATCAACAGGACTTTATAGCACTTGCCAGTTTTCCCCTCTCGTGCCACCTTTGCACTGGGTCTGCTCRCTACCTCACAGCTGCTGGAGGGCTTTGGTGAAGCCTGGGCTCTGTGCTGTGGCCCTGGCGGCTCCTGTGGCGCCTGGTGCTGGACGTCACGGCCACTCACATTTCACAGTCTTAGTACCTGTGAAATCACACTGCTCTGGTCCAGAAGAATATGTCTACATCTTCTTTAGTGCATAACAACCCAAGAATTTTACAATCCAGAGGAGTCATTATCAGCTGATCTAATTAAGAGGAGAGAAATAAACACATTCGCACATTATGTGGGCACTGTAATTTGTTAAAATAAACACAGTCCTTGCCAGACCCTGCAGAACTATAGTTGAGCTCTAGGTGGGTTTTCAGAAGCATCTGATTGCCTTCCAATTAAGTGTTACAGAAAGAAAATACTTTATAYGCTAACAATTCAGTCCCTTTATCACCAACTGTGCCGATCAACTGCTGTCACTATGATTTTCCCTCCACTTCCCAACTACTGCCAAAGGAAACTCAGCCACAGAAGTAGTTAAGATTATCAGACTTCACACTGTTCTGCCTTCAGTCTTTTTGCAGCAAGGCCACCTTGTAGCATTAAAAAGTTCAGYCCTTCAACAGCATCACCCTCCTGGCCATCACTTGTGAGGCTTTCTCCTTTGCAGCTGGGTTTATTGCTGTAAGCAGCAGCTGTTCTCTATTGCGCTGAGCTTAAAACTAGTTCCACTACAGGTGAGAAGGCAGCTATACATAAAAGCTGGTTTCTTTCTATACTGTAGCTTGAAATGCTTCAATTATTTACAGAAGAGGTTACTTATGCCAATGTGYGGTGAGAAGGGAATTTTGCTCCTTCCTATAAAGGAGCAGGTACTGGATGCATGAAAGGAAAAATCATTCCACTAGTTATCTTAAAAATGTTTTTGTATTGTCTTCATGTTATTCTCTTGCAGCTCAAACTTTTATTCCCTTTTAATTGCCTTAAATGTTTTTTTTTATTTTCTGACAGTAACCTAGAAAAGTTCTTTAAAAAGAGCCTGAAGGATTAGTGAAGGAAAAAGCTGTCTGCAAAAAAAAATCTGAATTAGTTTGGCTGTTGCTATTCGTTTGATTTGGAAGATACTTGGAAAAGCCTTTTAGGTAGTTTGTTACTGAGTGAAATACACTAGAAATTAAGTTAGACACAATTAAATTTTACTATATTTTTGAGGCTTTCATTTTTTGAATGAAAAAAAACTTTTATTTGATTTTTGCTTGACTTGATTGAAGAGGAAACTTGATAAAAGAGACTGCCTCCTGTCTAGGTTATACAAACCTCTCAGTCTGCCCAGAACCTTTGCAGCCCTCTCTGCTGTGACCTTTTCCCAGTAACCTGTCATGACAGCCTCCCAGAGCATTTCCTTTTCCCAGGCCCTGTCATGCCACCAAGCGCACAAGACCTRTGGGAGCCTTATGGCTGCTCTCTACAACCCCTGCATGGCAGCTGCTAGAGGCCACATTGGGCTCGTGGGCTGCAAGCTGGATACTGCTGTTCAAGCTAAAAAGCTGAGATTGCAGAACTGGTGCTATAACCTTTTATATCCTGCGCAGCTTGGCCCACAAAGGCTCTTGTGACATTCACCTGCAGGTAAGATATGCCTGAGCAAGCCCTAAGGGAGACCTTTGCRCTGCTTTGTGCTCTTTTGGGCATAAAGAGGTAAGGACACAGCAGGGCCAGCGAGGTGAGAGGTAAGACYGGGGTAATGATGGCTTGGAGCTGARTTTCTGCTGTGCAAGCTGCCTTTTGACTTAAACACAGGTAGTTTTGAAACAGATAGTGTGGCTTTTTGAGGTACTGAAGGTTGGGAAATCCCATTCAGGTCACATCAGTGTAACATTTGTATAAACCTCAAGTGGACTATTCAGTATTATGGCTACATCATATATCAATATACAATATTCTAGCTTTTTCCCTGGATGGAAGATACAGAATGTCTCTAGCGGACGTGCCAAGGGAACTGCATCCTAGCAGGTTCCTGCATCTCCCCAGGCCTCTCCTGAGCCCATCTGTGCTGGCAGACCAGATTAGCACTCACAGCTCCTGGCTGCTGGGGATTATGACACCCACTGATTAGCGGGTGAGTGGCTTGCAGCGAATCTGCTRCTGCAAAAGAACCTCGTAAGCCGTGATCACTTCAAACCTACTCTGTTGTCTGATGACCATAGCAAAGCCCGTTGGTTTTGCCCAAAACAACCCAGGGTCTGTTCATGTGCACTGATCTGAAAGTGGGACTTGAGGAGGGCAAGGACAAACTCCTGGAGGCAGTAACCTCTCCTGCCACTATAGCTGGATCCAGAGGATGGGAACTCCTCACAGACTGGGCTTTTGCCAGGCTGTAAGGAGAGAACTGCAGTAGCATTGGCAATTCCCTCTAGAAGAGGAAAATGAATGAAAGGTACAAGAGCAATACAGTTTTGTGACTTTTTGGGTAATCATTAAAGCTATAGCTGATATACTGGTTGTGGTTACAGCTGAGAAACTGAAATCAAGCCTAGCAAATGAACAGAAGAAACAGTCCTGCCTTTTCTGTGTTGGTGATGGGTTAGACTAGATAATCAGGGCTTCCATTGACACCTGTAGCACAAACCAGCGCCAGCTGTTCTTGCAGCCCAGCCAGACTGCGCAACTCGCCCCTGGTCTGCACAGCTGGAGTTGCACTGTTGTGTGCTGGATCTTACTCACCTGAGCSCAACAGTGAGGCTGTGTTGTACAGCATATTAGTCAGAAGTGCGTATTTCCAAACATTCACTGCTTTCTGGTATGAGCCTCTCCTTTCTTTGAAGTGTTGTTCAAGTTTTGAAACATTTCTGAGCAACTCACTTGCGATAAGGATGCAGGGTGTTCAGGGATCAAAGCAGCTCTCAACAGGCTAAAATCAGGGAGCTGAAATAGCAACAGAAGGGCTAGGCCAGAGGGTCTGTACCTCTGCCTGTTGCTAAAGGAGCAGCTGYGCAGCACAGCCCTGCCAACAAGGAGCTTTAGGATGTTTTTTTTTTTTTGTAAGTAGAAAGAAATGGTAGTCTGTTATTTTCCTGCCCTGCAACAGCCAGATTTAGTAACTCTTCATAGAGCTTCTTCCACCAGAAGGTAGGAAATTTGGGAATCTAATATGTTATTGCAATATTCTGCTACTGAATCAATTTTTGCTAATGATATATAAACTGTCACAAAGTCTGTTCTGCTGAAGAAATCATTAACATTGACCGTTTCTCCTTCCTTCCCTCCTCCTCCTTTTTAATTTTCAAACAATCTGCTTTATAAATTGCTTATTTCTACATATCAGGTACCATTATTATGGAATTGCAGTGAAAGAAAACTCTCAGTATTACGATGTGATGTATTCAAAAAAAGGAGCAGCGTGGGTCAAYGAAACAGGAAAAAAAGAAGTAACCAAACAGACAGTGGCATATTCACCACGCTCCAAACTTGGAACGTTACTGCCAGAGTTTCCAAATGTCAAAGATCTAAATCTGCCAGCCAGCCTGCCAGAGGAGAAGGTAACACTTTGGAAATATTCTCAGCTTGCCTTGTTTTATTTTCCCTTCTGGATGAAAGCCTTATCTAAAATATAAAGACTTTAAATTACAGTGAGTTTAATAATGCTTTGACTTTATTTATGAGGAACTTAATTGCTTCATATAGCAGGAAGAAATACTTTTCTTTAGCATAGGCAGCTGACACAGTATCAGCTGCACTTTTCTTTAAAACATTTCTGAAGCCTGTGCACACTCTTTTTTTTTTTTAAGTTACGTTACATACAGCAAAAGAGGCTTGAGAGTAACTAGTTAAATCACTAATAACCAGAATAACAAGACCTCAGACTTCTGTTTCTGCAACCTATCATAGCTGTTTAATTTGCAAACGCAGTCATTGGCAAGCTGAAAGCCATCCTGCTACTTTCTTGAGAGCAGAGTGTGCTTAGTGTGTCTGTCATCCTTGTAGGCTGGAAGGTGAGAGAATCCTCTCTGTACATATGACGAAAATCCCCCAACTGCCCTTGGCTGAGCTTGCTCGTTTTCTGATGCTATTCACAAGTGTAGTATCAATGTAAGGTGGAACAAAAGAATAAGGTTTTATAGTTCTTTATGTCCTAATTAGGGCCACATTCTCGTCTTTGATCTCACTGAGGCTTTTTGCTCCTCTTACATTTGAAGAATCCCCATTGACATAGAAAAATCCACAAAATCAAAGGGAGAATTTACTTTTAAGAASAAAACTCATCTTAAAGCTAATCTAACTGAACTCAAGGCCTAACTGGATTCATTATTTTTGCAATTGTGCATAAGTAAAGAGAAGAAAAAATATTTTTTCTGGGCTTTCTATTCTGTTTTTTAAAGCAGTTTTCTTAAAAGAATATTATCTTTTGTGTTCTCCTCATTCTTTTTCAGGTTTCTACCTTTATTATGATGTATAGAACGCACTGTCAGAGGATATTAGACACTGTGATAAGAGCAAACTTTGATGAGGTATGGTCAGAAACCAGGGCTGTAGTTTAATGATATGAAAGTTATTGATAGACCTGAGAGCTTATTTTTGAATGTGATACTACAAAATAATGGCTTTGATCATTTTCACRAATATACCACTTTCATGTGTATATATATACACCAGTTTCAGTGTGTATGTATAACTAATACCATTAAGTCTCACTTACAAGGTTACCTGAATTAAAGGTAGGAGAGCAATGGGAATAGTTTTGTGTGTCCCTTCTCCAGCAGGATTAAAGTAGTAACGTCCCCTTACACGATGTTGGATAGTCCACTTCTTACAACTCAAGAAGCGTGGGCACCACCACTTTCCTAAGCTTTGAGCTGGAAATGAGCTCTTTTTGAAGGAGTTCTTCTGAATGTTAAGCACAAAGTTGGGGCTGATGCAGAAGCCAGAGTAGTGGCCTCTGCTGCTCTTGCTGTGTCAACGCTGGGGCAGGATGGTGGGGACCTACAGCCACCCAGACCTCCTGGTAAGCCTGTAGCTGAAGTGTCCAGCTCTTCTGTCACACTGCAGTGCAGCTAAGAGCACAYATGCTGCTGCTGCTGCTGCTGCTCAGCAGTCACTAAGACCCATTAAATGTGGGTAAGATTGGTGCCTGCTGGATATCGTACTGCATCTACTAATCAGAGCAGAAAGGCTGCAAACTCCAAGCACTACAGGAGTGCAAGCATTATTATATCACATGTGGAGAAGGGCACTAGTCTAGCAAAACAGATCTGACTATAGGTGGGCCTGATTTGACTGCCACACACCTGATCCTGGTAAGTCACAGGACTTTTGATTCTGAATTCTCAAGAATGGAAGGGTATTCCCTGCTATTCACCCTCTCACAGTACTCACAGTCTTCTGATTTAAAGCTGAGGCTCTTTTTAAGTCATTGGACCGAGCCTAAATGCTTCCATATGAGAGAATCTGCCTATTTGTAAGGAGCAATTTCACCTCTTTTCACAGTCTCTGTGTGCTTCCTAAAGTTCCTCCTAGACGTGTTTAAATGGGGACCCACAAGATTATTAGTTTGATTAAATCTGATACCCAGCTTTGGAAAAACAAATGCTCCTTCATCACTACCCCCTTCTCCAAGCCAATTGATTCACTGAAGTAATAGTTTTTGKTTTTTTTTTTTTTTATTTGTAGCCTTTAATTATTTTCATCTAAATGTCCCTGCTGCCTCTTGTGATTGCAGGTTCAAAGTTTTCTTCTGCACTTTTGGCAAGGGATGCCCCCTCATATGCTGCCTGTACTGGGTTCTTCAACCGTAGTGAACATAGTGGGAGTTTGTGATTCAATACTGTACAAAGCGATTTCTGGAGTTTTGATGCCAACGGTACTACAGGCACTACCTGACAGGTATGACTAGTCCCACCCACCACCTTCAGCTCAGCTGCCTTTAGTACATGTATGTGCTTCATAGATGGCACCAGTTCTCAGAAAGCTGCTTGTTGACATCCATTTCCTGAGTTTAGATCAGAGTCAGGTCAAAAAAGTTGCAAAGATGATGTATTTCTGAAGAATTTTTTGGATTTTGGTAGAACTTGTGAAAAAATACCATTTTTCTGTGATAAAGGCTATTACTTCCTCTTTTGTTTATTAGCATTAAGTAGATGGTCATGTCTCAGCTTTCAGGAAACATCAGAAATCTGCAGGCTGCAGAATGCCAGTCCTCTGTCCTCTGAATATTTCAGACACCTTTCTGCTAGTCTGGCATAGTAACATTACAGCATTCTGAATTACAGTGGCAAAAGGAGCTGTCCTGGCTGCTCTGTAGGTAAATACTCAGGCACATGTTTGGGAACGGCAGTCAAAGCATTTGTCTCTGTTTACACTCTTGGATCCCAGTTGTTACTCTGCTCATCAGGAGTAGAAAACATGAAGATTATACCTCAGAAAACTGGGATTCATATAAATAGTATTCTATGATGAACAGATACATGCTTATTATAGACAGTGTTTGCCCTTAGGTCCTCCTTTGTTTTAATCTAAATTCTCCTTACCAATCCACACGGTAGATCTCAGCTGTTCTCCTCCAACCTGGATCTCATTTGAGTCCAAGGAGTCTTAGTTACACAGGCAAAGCAGGGCAGGGATCAACACTTTGCAGCAGAATGTGTAATCATGGAGTGCATCCAACCATTTCCATACTTTGAGCTTCCTCTTATGAGCATCAGGAAAATATCTTTTTTTTTAAGTATGTGTGTTCACATTTAGAATTATTTGACTGATGCCTTCCTGCAGCCAAATAATTGAAGAATATTGCTGTAAGAGTTTATTGATGGTGCTGTGTATTTGGCCCCTAAGATTTTAAAGAATCTCTAATCACAGCAAATGTTTTCAGGATGTTGTTCTCTCCCAAATTCATCAGTACCATGAAGACTATATGATTACTAAAGTACAGGCAAGATTTTTTCCCACTAGAAACATGTTATGAGCACAGGGCTTTCCTTGATGACACATGTACGTTTTTACAGGCTTCTCCCCTAGCMCCCAAAAATCTATTTCATTGGAAGGATTAAACAGAACAGCAGTCCTTTTCTCAAGCTGCTTAGTTCTTTCATAGCAAATAAGGAGAGACTTGAGTGTGAATATAGACTTTTGTAATGCATATAAAGGGCCAGATTGTGGCTATTAAGCCATAGCCTGCACTGGAGGGGGTGAAGAAGGGTCTCGCTGCAGTGGAAGCTGCTGCAGGAAATCTTGCTGACTCAGCCAGAATCCTCAGCAGGACTTCCTGGGAGCAAATGGGGGCTGGCCCGAAAAGCCCGTTTGAGGGGTGCAGTAGTTGGCACCCCAGTTGGCAGTGTGGAGAAAAGCAGGCCCATGGCCACACTTGTTTCTCAGGTGTAGAGGGCCTTAGGAGTACAAATGGGAAACGCTGCCTGGCCCAAAGAGGGCAAGTGCCTTGTACCCCTTCTCTGCCTGTCCTGCCCCTGCATGCAGGGCAGGGCAGGGCTGGGGAAAGCACAGCTCAGTGGGGCAGGACTGCAGGCTGCCCTCCAGCACCGCAGCCCCTCGCAAGGGGCCATCTGTGCCAGGCCGGCCCCAGAGGTGCCGAGGGAGCTGCCTGCCCAGGTTAGCACGGAGCGGGAAGGGCTGGGGCCCCCTAGCAGAAGGTGTGGGGTGGAAGAGGGAAACCTCATGTGGCCGCGGAAGTTGCTGTCCCGTGCAGAGCTAARCGGCCGGATCCTGCTGCTCTCCCCACGTCCCGGGCCTGCGCAGGATGGCCTCGAAATTCCTCCCTGGCACCACCACCCGCTCACTGGCTCCAGCCTGCAGCAGAGCTAGTTAGGGCTTCACTTGCATGACCCACTATTTATCTGCRTTAATATAGGCACAGCTGAGTTGAAATCCAAATTTTGATCTGTTGTCCTCCCTAAATAGATGTGATTTTAACTTGTCATTTTTGAACAGAGTGAAAATAATTTTATTTTAAGACAAAAACACCAGTTACAACCAGCACTGTAGTGCAGTACAGACACTTCCTTTCTGTGTAAGCCTTTGGACATGTTGCTTTTTAACCTTTTCCTGCAAACATTTTGAGAAGATTTTTTTCCTACCTACAGACCAAAATAGGTCRTCAGCCATGCCTAACAGTGAGCTGGAAATGCTGAATGACCCACAGGCTTTACATGTTCACGGGTGTTAACACTATGAAGCAGCAAGTAAATATGTTCTGGTTTCTCTTTTCAGTTTAACTCAGGTGATCCGAAAGTTTGCAAAACAACTGGACGAGTGGCTGAAAGTAGCCCTGCACGACCTGCCAGAAAACCTACGAAATATCAAATTTGAATGTATGTATTGTCCCGTTGCTTTGCCATTAATCTAAGATGAAGGGAATGTTTATTGATTACAAAATAATTGGAAATGAGGCTAGTGTTGTTTTAAGGATCAAAAAACCGCCAGGATTATAAATCTTGCATTCACCCACCATCTCCACTTGCTCATGAGAACCAATTTCATCTAGTGAAATGAGGCACCGCTCCAAAGTGAGAAGAATTGCCTTTCCTTTCTTGTGGAGTCTGATAAGAAATTAATTTTGTTGATAGTAAGCAAACATTAGGGATGATATTAGGCAAAGGAAATTATTAAACAAACCTTTAGGCTAGCACAATTTGAATACAGCTTGAGGCCCTCGCTCAAAAAAAGTGCCAGAGTGAAAAATGAAGGAGATCAAATTACCCTGTCACCACAGGAAAGGGCACTAGGCCTTTTCAGATGTGCTTTGTAGATGCCTGCAGTGCACATCACCTATTGATAAAGCCTGCTTTATTTCACGGCTCTCAATTCTTTGCCTTTCATGAGCACTAAATTCCACACCACAAAGTTAAAAGAAAAAAAAAAACTAATTTAGGAGAAGGATTAACTGTTTTGATCAGCATGGAAAATTAGGAGTATATTTTGCTGAGAACACTCAGGATGTAAATTAGAATAACAAATTTCAGGGCTTTTTTGTTATTTACTMATTTATTTTAAAAGTTATAGGAAGCCAGATCTGCAAATATATTTTATCACATCCTTTTTTCAGTTCAGAAATAGTAAGGATGTGCAACAATAAAATCTTTCCTGATCATAGGGGAGAGAGAGGGACACTACGCTTTCTAGTCATTCTTTAAATCTTTAACAGCCTCCACATACAGTACAGTGAGAGTACCTACTTTGTGGCTGTATCCAAGGCATGTTTGGCCAGATCTGCACATCTGGTGATTTTAATATGAGGGTAACTTGAGTGCCCGCCAGGATATACCTGAGTCTGCCACTTGTGCAGTTGTTTCCTYCTGATTAGGATTTGTTATCCTTTGCACAGCTGAGGGAAGTACTGACGGGAGTAACGACAAGTTTTGGTCATGTTTGCAGTTTTGGTTTGTGGACTTCAGAGAAAAGATGCACAATAATGCATTTTAAAACCCCATATTTATACAAACACTGAACTAGGAACAGAAAACGGTGACTACCTTACGACTACAGGTTCTAGCACCTCTGCCTCCACAGCGTGTTATTGCAGCACATAGTTTTCTTTCAGAAACTTGGACCAAATTCCAGTTGAAGTATTTTAGTTCTTAGTAGTCCAGTCAGGAGACTCCTTGAGAATCTTTAAGTCCTAGGAACTTATTCTAATGTATAATGTATTTATCTTATGCTCTTTTGTTCTTGCACTAGTATTTTTCTTTCTGTCTGGAGTTCTGTCTTTCTGGTCTTTATTTGCTTTATGTATCAAGAGAAAATTTTCTCTGCTAAACAAGCCAAGCTCTTCCATTGCCCTCTACCTTTCTCTTGTCATCTTGTTATTTACCTTATCTATAAATCATTATTTATAATGCTTATTTGAAATACTGACTGAGGATTGAGCATCCAGATTTAAGATTTTAAAATTAAATTAAAACTGGGCTTTTCATATAAATTGTGTATAGACACCATTGCATATGACCAGAATATGGCAGTTTTAAATTCTGATTTTAACATTGTATTTTGAAAATTAATTTTATTTATCACAATATGTGAATACGTAATTGTTCTTTCCTGTAGTGTCCAGGAGATTCTCACAAATTCTTCGGCGACAGACATCACTAAACCATCTCTGCCAGGTAAATCTTTCAGTTACCCACATTTACTGAATACTGCTTTTATTGACTTTTCTAATAATTTGACACATCAGCAGAGATAAGGAGATTAGCAGATTGTCTTCAATATTCATTCTGACCATCTTTACAATAATCAAAAAGTAATCAGCAAAATGCCTTGATAGGTACCTGTCACTCTCTGATAATTAAATTCTATGGGGAACTTTTATGAAACAAATCTAGGATTTGATCCAAAGAGATTATTTCAATGAAATGAACAAACCAGAGATGTTCCGTTGATTTCAGTGGAGTTGGGATCAGGCTCGTGGCAAAGCAAGAAGACTTTCTACCTGCCTGACAAAATAATACAGAACTAATTGTATGTTATAAATCAAATTAAACTTAGTACAAAGCTAAAGATCTGAACTGCTGAGATTTTGAACTGAGATATGCAACCACAACAAGTGAATATCAAAAGTACTCTCCACTATTCCTTTTTCACCAATTAGTTTAGATTACAATTACTTACAAAAAAAACCCCATAAGGCTGTATTTTCTACATTATAAAAAGGAGATGCTCCACTGATCTCAATGGTTTCACTCATATTTCTGAATAGACAATTTGTTTTCCTAATCATGGTGAAGCTCCTCTTTGGAGAAATATGTCCAGTGCCCCAGGTTAAACCTGAGAGTGGAAAAGCCCACAGGAAGAGGCTGGGGGAAAAAAAATAGCCCTTCACAAACTCCTTWGTTTATCCCTCCATTATTTTAGTGGTGCAGGCAGAGGTGCCAGTGCTACCTGATGGGCCACCTCTGAAGTTTGGAGGTCYGTAGGTATTCAGAGGAAATCAGAATCATTCATATAGGGGCCACATCAGGCCCAGGCACATCTGCATCAGGCCTGGGATCCACTGAAGAAGTCATCAAATCCATCATTTCCTTGGGGAAGCTGATARTGTGGATTATCACCTCTGTTTAATTTAGAGGGAGCTGGTGTGTGTTAGATGGCTATGACCCTGCACCACTTCCTTTCTTTCCAGCCCATTTGCTGTTCACTGCCAGCAAATGCCTGTCTCTAGTACCCAAGAGGCAGATGCTGCTGCAGAGGAAAATGAACTCAAGCTTTTTTGTGTAGTTGAGGAAAGAATGGGAGTTTGGGAAAGGAGAGATTTTGTTTTGGGACTGAAGAAGAAAGTCTTTGGGACTGCCCAAGAAAGTCACCRGGGCTGCTGTATGTTGAGGAGTTTAGCAACAGAACAGCTGGATTGGGGGAGCTCACCTGGGTTTGTGCTGAGTGGGAGCCAAAGACTTGCAGCTGAGTAGCATGGGTAAAATGATTGCATTTACAGGCCCCTGTAGCTCCCATCAGAGATATCAGAGTGGTGGGTGGGAGAATCAACCCATAAGGAGAATCAACTCAGTGAGCCTAGCTAAGGAAGCGTAAAAGGGGATAAAGCTGATTTTTTAATCTAATAAACCATGAACTAATGAATAGATTGGATTGGATTACAGGCATCAAGAACGGTGATCCACAGTGCAGACATCACATTCCAAATGCTGGAGGACTGGAGGAATGTGGATCTGAATAGCATTACCAAACAAACCCTCTATACTATGGAGGACTCRAGGGAGGAACACAGGAAGCTCATCATACAATGTAAGAGCAGAACTGCCAAATACAGCCAAGTGAACTTGGCTTCCTGGTGCAAACGAAGCTCAGTGAAAGCGACACTGCTCAGTTTTGCAGCCACTGCTTTGCAGAAAAGAAGTGCAGTTATCAAGAGCAATCACAACAGTGGAGGCTTAAGATAAATGCTGAGAAGCTTAGCTTGAAGCGAAACTCAAATCAAATGAAATTTTCCCAAATGCAAATAGATTTAGGTACATGTTGTGGTGAAATGTGGTGGACTTGTATTTTCCATCTAGAAGAGAGAGAAGCACCCAGAAATGCTGACCTAATAGAAATGTTTAGCATACAGTGGATCCTGCTTAGATATGCAGATATGGATGGGGATGATTATGGCTTTTTGACTTCTTTTTCCCCATTGCTGAGGTGTAGTTTACGTAGCCCTTCAAAGGTCTAGCTCCACATGGCTACGGTGATCTGGAATTGAGACCTAGTCTAACATTCGCAGTTCTGGTAACTAAGAACATGCAATTTCCAGCTACTGTAAGTAGAAAGAAATAGGTTCCCTATAGGAAAGATTAGAGAGAAAAGAAAAGAAAAAAAAAAATGAGCACTGGGTAGAAGAGCAGCTCTTTCCTATTTGGATGTGGTAGCTGCCTCTGCCTTTCTCAAGTCCCATAGAGGTATCTGTAACAGTCACTTGAGGCTAAGCAGTTTGTCCTCTCAGTAGGGGGTTGTTCACAATTGTATTATTGCAGCAGCAAGTCAGGCAACTGATCTGGCTTTCTGCTCCTGCTCCCTCTTTGTGCACGATGTGAGTCACTTCATCTGTTGTATCACACAGTTTATGTCTAGCCGAATGCTCAAGCAAGGAGACCATGTTTTGGGTTTTTCTTAGATCCCATCCTGAGTAAAGTGAGGTTGCCCATTCATTAAAACTACAACCAGAAAAGAGAAGTGGGGAGCAAATACCTCTCTTTCCTTTCCTTGCTGGATAGTGTTTCTGACCATACAGCTTTTGCAAGCRTAAGATGAACCAGGTTACAGTGAAGTGCAAGGCGAGTGCATTGCTGCCCAGCTTGCCCATTCATCTTCGAATGCTGCTGCCCAAAGTGAAGGCTGAGGAGCTTGTCCTTTGTGTGGCTCACTGGCTACCACCTCTCTGTGCTTTGCCTCTTCGACCCAWTGCCTCGCTGGCTTCCTATGATGGGAAATCCCTTCTGCTGATACTCATAACTAGCGTAAATGAAATGCGTAGCACGCTGAGATCATCCTGTGACACAGCGGGTAGAAAGTGTATTTGGTCTTGATTTAGTGGGCCGTTTATTTTAGCTGAGTTGAAGAGTTTCTCAAGACGTCAAAGCACATGATTCTTTGTCTTCCAGTTGCTGATTTTCATAAATAAACCAGGGACTTGCAGCTTTAAGAGCTGCAGTTGAATGACAATTCTTTTTGCTTTCAGTATTAAAATATGTGTGCTTCAGAGAGCTTAAAAGTATTCGGATCATCTTTTGAAACTGTTCTTGATAAATTCATTATTGCATTTATAACATTTATTTTAAAGAAGTAGAAGTTTTCAGGAAATCTTTGTGCTTCTCTGTGGTTTGGGCACCACAAATAGATGTTCTGCAGCAGTTAAATTATGCTTTTGCAACTAAAGAGCTATACAGATGAGAGTCTTATCAACAATGCTCATCCATTTGGTGCTTAGAGGATTCTTTATGCATTTCTAAATCAATTTCATGCATGACCTTTTTTCATTACCAAGGTCAAGGCCTGGCTTCGCACTCTTCGTAGAGAACGCTATTAATGATTCACTTCTGGGCATCATGGACAGTTGCAGCTTAAACTAGAAGATTATTTTTTAAGTAGTTGGTCCTGATTTTGCTCCTGCTAAAATGCCACTTTTAGGGGCTCCACCACTTTCAGTAGAAGCAAGTTGGAGACCAAACAAAACAAACTGGTCAGCACTAAGGATGTTGAATCTGTTCGAGCTAATCGATCCAGTATARTAAATATAGCCAATCTGTGAGAAGTTACTGTTGGCTTTTGTGATTTATATCTCTCTCAATTGAATCCAAGCACTGAACTGGGGTATCTTTTTGTTTGTCTGTTGGCCAGTGTACCAGGAGTTTGATCACCTTCTGGAGGAGCAGTCCCCCATTGAGTCTTACATCGAGTGGCTGGACTCCATGGTGGACAGATGTGTTGTGAAGGTTGGTACGTGGGAGTTGGGACCTGAGGCACTGAGGTACAGAATGAGCTCCATTCAGCTCACTGGTTTTTAGTAGAAATGGGAAAAAAAACAACCAACTGTGCAGAGGTAGTGGCTAAAAGTAAACCAGCAGTGGGCAAAATCCCAGTAGTTTTCCTGTTCAGTATGAGGACTGTTCACATTTAGGGTTTGGGTTCACTCTGCGCTTATCTGTTCCGTCCTAAAAGGTGATATTCAGGAATGGGACAGACTTAAGGTCTTTCCAGACAAATCAATATTTCACTTGTATAAAGAGAGAGTTCATTCAAAGCCACCCTAGCTATCTAGTGCAAATGGAGCTGGTTACATTGTTTGTCCTTTTGAGATTTTGAGGAAGAGGATAGTTAGGCCAGCTACTTAATTTCTATACAGTTAAGTAAGTGTAAAGATGAAAGGTTTACTATTCAGACAGGGATGCAGTTATGTTGGCTTTCAAATTAAGTTGGGATATCAAGGACATATATGTTATTTTAACTTTCCTTGGTCTGGAAGCTTACTGACAAATCATTAAAAAATGTTTTCAAATTTATTTAGCCATGATTGTAATGTCACGCAGGGTATGTAGTTATAGGATTGACTATTTTAACTTCTGCTGCTGACTCTACTTTGTATTAGGATGTTCTATTAAAAAATTCAAATCATTATTCTGGATTTTCATTTTTGGGAGGAACTTTTATTTTAGTTAATGATACAGAATTCAGACTCTTAATTGTTATTTTTTCGGGAAGAACTTGGCATGTATTTTATTAGCTGATTGGGTAAATCTAATCCTTTAACTTAAATATGACTATAGAAAATCAGGTTTGATGAGATAAAGCTTTTCTTTCTGGGAAGTACTTTTGCCAGTAGGATTTTGTGAATTTGCAAGAACAAAAATGTAAAGGAGTAATTATTTTCAGTAATAAATGTTATTTGAAATATTAATATATGTTTTCAGTGTAAATAAAGCACTGTTGATTCCTTATCTGGGAATCATCATGAAACAAAATTAGATTAAGATAAAGACCAGAGCATTTTTTTTTTTGGCAGTCTGATCTTTCATCATTTATAAAAGAAATTCTGTTTTGGTGCTGAAAAATACTCAAGAATTTCATCTTTACAGTGGGTGTACATAGTGATAAGGTAGCTTTCTGGGTATGTTTTTCTGAATTTTCAGTGATTATTTTAAAGTCAAGGTAATGGTAAGTATATATATTTCCTTTTTCCTTTTTTTTTTTCATTAGTAGGTTCACATGAATACGGGGTGCATTGTTCAGCTAAATCAGGCAGTAGAAATAAAAGTTTCGTCATGTCAGATATATCTGTTTTCTTGTAGGTAGCTGCCAAGAGACAAGGCTCTTTGAAGAAAGTAGCTCAACAGTTCCTCCTGATGTGGTCCTGTTTTGGCACTCGAGTGATTCGGGATATGACTTTGCACAGTGCACCCAGTTTTGGTACTTTCATTTTGTTGAAATAATTACATAGCACTGTTGAAAAATTCTACATCTTGGCTTGTAATGTACAGTTAAGCAAAAACATACCTGTTTTCACATGTTGAAATTTAGTTGGGGTTACTGACAGTTGCAAATAATGCTCAGGTGGAGGTCTTTCTTCCAGCTCTGGCTGGCATGGCTGAAAGCATTGCTGCTTCCTTCTGCTTGGTGGCAGCCCGTAGCTGGGCTAATCAGTCACAGTCGGCTGCAGGAGTTACCAGAGCACTTGAGGGCAAAGTCAACCCAGTCACCTAAACCATCGTGGCTGCGCGTGACGCTATGGCAGATGGCTTGGCACTAAAGCCAATAAAAAGCTCTCCAGTAAGCCAGTTTGATAGCTCTGCTTTCAGGAAACTTAGCGTTTTAAAGCAGTCTTTGCAAACCGAGTGTGTTTCTATACCCCTGGCAAGTCCTTTCCAGACTATTAAAATCAGAGTGGGAAGATAGACATTTACTTTTTGTAGAGAAGAAGCATGCTGCCCTTCCATGTGGTTTCAGAAAGGACTTTGCTTTGAATCCTGGGACACAAACAGCTCATTTGGAGGGCTAGGTTAAAATCGGTTAAAAGCAGAGATGATTGAAAAGGGATATTGCATCATGAGTGTGGACACTCAGTTACTATTTGGCACCATGTTTCTCATGAGGGATGATTTTTATAGATGCACGTTTGTCAGGATATGCTGTTAGATTAATCACAAATGAAATTACTGCAGTGCACTGAACTCCAAGGTTTTCTGCCAGCTGAGCTTCAATGTCCTTTATGCTATTAGCACTCAGATACCAGGAGAGATAGGCACTTGCAATAGACTGTATTTTCATCTGGAACTGCTTTTCTTGTCTTTTCGATGGTTAAGAGCTTCCCAAGCAGCTGTTAATGAATTGCCACTAGACGTCAGGACAGTGAACATCCCTATGATGATCACAGCTTCCATTTGCTAGGTTGCATTTTCAGCACCAATATCCTGGTCACATCTATTTCCCATCCCCTCTAGGACTCATTTGCTGTGTGAGTCACTCTAGCTTTCCTTTTGTTGTGGGCATAAACGTAGCTGATACTGCTTAACACAGTATACGTCCCCATGTTCAAAAACCTCTTCATATGAGTGCTGGATAAATGCTGAATTTTGTGTTCCGACACTTTGGGTCACGATACTGCTCTCTGCAAACAATCCCAATGTGGAAAATAAACTAGCAGTCTACAAATGAAAAACCATTCTGCATTAGTATAGTGTTGAGGTTACACTGTTAAAGTCAGAAATACTGAAATTAAAGGGCCCATGAGGATTTTATTTTTGCTACTGAGATGCACGTTGCAGCATTATTTTTATTTGTGTTAGGACACATAAGTAAACTAATCAAACATTCTCTGTTTCAAAGCATCAGATAACARAATATCTTTACTCAATCAGGAACACCCAAATTACTTATTAGATCRTTAGCTATTTGGAACGTCTGTGTTATTCTCAGTTATCCTCAGCTGTGATTTTATTTATTAATGAAAACATTTATGGGTTTGTCAGATAGGCAAATGTGAACGTTGAGAATTATTCGTTGGTATTATAATTAGGTCAGTAATATTATAAGCAGGTCAGTACCTGCTTTTCAATGTCGTAGTCAAAGCAAGGGTGAAAAAATATCACTGTGGGCCAGGATGAAGCTGAGGTACCCTGGAATTTTAATCAATTCAAAAATCTTTGTTCATTTTGGAAAAGTAAAAAAAAAAAAAAAAAGGGGCATGGTTTTCCATCTTTATTGTATGTTGGTGCTTAGGCCATAGTTACCTGCTTCAGCAGAATCTTGAATCAGTGTTAAGGGGACAAGTTTTGGTTCTGTCCCTCTTCTACCAGTTATTGAGACAGAGTGGAGTTTTCCTTGTGCCAGGTACAATCCTGCAGGCCCACTGGAGGCAGTGGGAGCTCTGAGCCTTCCAGCTTTCACAGGTGAGAACGGGACCAAAACCATATTCTCCTGCTAGCAGAGCCGTGCCTGGGCTACCCAGTTGTGTTTCTCCAAAAATGGCCCAAAGATGATTTAGCAACAAAGCCAAAACTGTAATCTCAGATATTAACACTGTAATACTTCCAGTGTGAGGGTATTTGATGCATTGTTCCTGAAGCAGAGCTGAACAAGTGCCAGTAGAACAACTGGAGAACATAAACAGAGCAGAAGGCAGAGGCTCCTCTGCACTTATTTTAGCAGTTCCTTGAAGCTTTTTACACCAGCATATACATTTTAGTGAGCTCTATGGAGAAAGAGAAAAAAAAGATACTGATTTACTAGCATTTACTAGCATGCTAGCATCTATATATTTTTATTCTTATTTAGGTTAAAAGTTATGCTTTTTTTTTTTTTTTTGGCTACATATGGAAACTGGTTTTCCACACTGATTTTTTTTCCACTTTAAGCAGTGTTATATGCCAGGATCTTCATTATATGCAGGCCAAAATAGTTATATCTTTGAAATATGTGCTTTGGAAGCTTGATTACAGGAAGTTGCACTATCTGACATTGGGCTGACTAACACAGAGATTCAGTCCTGCAGAGCCTTTAAGTGTGGTGATGTGGGCAGGCTGGAATAATCCCTGACCCAAAAAGGCTCCTCTCTGTCTCTCTCTGTCTCTCTCTGTCTCTCTCTGTCTCTCTCTCTGTCTCTCTCTCTGTCTCTCTCTCTGTCTCTCTCTCTGTCTCTCTCTCTGTCTCTCTCTCTGTCTCTCTCTCTGT